TACATACGTTCTTCCACATTCTCCCCCTTTTTGATGATGACAACATACTGTAAATGGAAAGAAACACAAAATAGTGTATATCGATCACTCCCCCTTAGTCTCCCCCTTAATAAATCATTGTCTGATGTTAATTTTATTTTATAAAAAAAATTGTATTTAAATAGACAGTTGTAGTATCATGTTAAATTGTTTAAATCATAACATCCAATTTTTTATCAGGACCAAAATAAATTATCCTTTTTTCTTCTTTCCTTTCCTCTCCCCCTTTGGCAACATCAAAAGGAATGAGACAACATAACAAAGAAAATATAGAATGAGATAAACAAACACCATTCAGAACAGAAGTCAAAAACAAATATGTCCCAATAGCAAAATGATCAGAGTCAAACGTGCAAAATATCCTAGAACATGCTAATCAAAAAAGTTCAGAAATTGATTAAAAATAGCCCAAAACATAAGATAAACTAAAAGAAAAACTATCAGAATCACAGTCAACTAGCTACTCGAAAGGGCGGCAAAAAGATTATTTTACTTCCTCCTCAAGACGAGTCATGCGAGTGTCAAGAGAATCAAAACATTCACCAACATAGAAACGGAGATCTCGAATTTCATTGAGAACATCCGAGAGAAGTGCTGATGAAGGATCTTGAGGAGGTGGTGACGGAGTTCTATCATCAGTGTCAACTGCTTGAAAATCCCGCTTCCTGACCCAGGTGTTTTCCAGTGTTTTCTTGTACCCAAAAGAAGCAATTGCATTTGCCCCAATCTCAAAGAACCTCTTAACTGGAACCCATGTTTCATCTTCCAGAGGAACATTAAAATGTTCCAAAATAGTAGTTATAAAGTGTGGGTATGGAAGAGAAGCATTAACCCGCAAGGCCTTTTTCATACGACTCCTAATCAGATGAGCCCAGCTAAACTCCCAGCCAGTGATTAGAGCCCATATCAAGATTAAGCCTTCCTCTGATGCCTGTGCTAGGTTAGTGGTGCGGGGAAGTAGTACCCGAACAATTATATAATGCATGATGCGATAATCAAATTTAATTGATCCATCCAATAATCATCCAGTCATGTCAGCATCATCCACACAAATCATACTTCAGGCATTGGGATAAGAATATTCTGGTTTCCATGTATCCGGAATCGTTCCCTCATCTTTTAATTTTGATAAATCACAGAACAAAGACTAATTTATCACTATTGGAATTTTTTTAACCTCACTGTGAAGAACCCTATTCCTGATTTCTAAATTATTGTAAAAGACCCTAACTAATTCTGGATATACAGGGTTCTTCATAGACATAAAATCCAGTAACCCAGAATTTTTTAAAATCGTATAACCCAGAAATCTAATGCGATGGATGAAGTCCAATCACGGACACATGCTTAGGAGATGAGAGACTCAATCAAAACATAAAACGCACAACCAAATAGGTCCTAAACAAATTGATTGTGGAAAGAAATTCAAATTACAATCAACCAATGGATCTATGGATAGAAAATTTTCAACAACAAATAGATCCGAAAGAAACTCACAAAAGAGACAATCAAAAACACAAAGACACAATATCAAACGGACCAAAAAAAATTAAGAACACTTATCTCCAAGAAGAACCTTGCTCTTGATACCAAAATTGATGGCAAAAACTAGGAGAAGTGATAGGTGTTCTTCTCCTCGGATTCACCAAAGCTTGGACCTCTTCAATGGAGCTTGAAACCAAATAGAATGAACACTTTGAATGGAGGATTTCTTCGGATGAAATGGCCTAAGCCAAGGATGGAAGCATCCAAGCTTAAGCAATCAAGAGATTGTTCACTTCAAAAGGTAGGAACTAGGTAAGTTTCTAAGGTTTTGAAGGCACTCTCTCTCTCTTTTTCTCGGTGACTCTTGAGGGAAATTTGGCAAAGAAATGTTCTCAAATTTCTGAAGTTCAAAAGTGAGTACAATGTGTGAAGGAGGAACATTATAAGCATCCGGAATTAGGAGACATTTGGCGCCAATGTGGAGGCTTCCCATGTGGCGCCAAGATTTGAATTCAAATCTCATCACACATGTACAAGTCCGGTCCCCATGAGTGCTAAATGTATTTAGATTTGATTTAGTGTGCATTTAGGGTTGAATTTGAGTCACACATGTTCAGCCAAGGTGGTGTCATCCATGTGACTCAAAATGCAACTTAAATGCATACTAAATTAAACCTAGTTTTGCCTAATTCACTTGAACTAATAATCTTCCTTAAATCCTAATCTAATGACCTAAATACAATGGTAAATGAAATACAATGAATAGGAAAAATTACAAGAATGAAAATGAGCCCAATATTGGGTACCAAAAACCCAAAGGCCCATGAAGCCCAAAACTAGGCCCAACAAGCCTAATGCCCAAAAATGCTACTCTATGTGGTCCAAAATACAAGACCAAAATATATGGAAACTATACTAAGATAGGCCCATGAGAAGCTTGAATTGGGCCTTCCAAGCCCATCGGGCCCATCGGGCCTTGACTGGCCCAAACCTCCATGCCTAGCCCACTCCTCTTGGATCTTTTAGGTTGTCACCTCTTTCCTTTCTAAGCATGATTCCATCAAAGACAAAGTGAGTGTGTTCTATAGATTTATAGATGTGACACAACAACCACTCAAGGCATACAAAACTCAAGACAATAAAAGGAAATACATGTAGGAACAGTTTAGACACACTTTTACATGATTTGAACCGAACAAAACAAGACAAGAAAGCTTAAGAATGAATTTACCAAGGAGACCTAGCTCTTGATACCAAATGATGGAAACTTGTTGGAGAATCCAGATTGTTGTGAATCCTCTTCAAGTTCCTCCCTAGATCTTCGGCTCCTTGATTCTTCTTAAGCTTTGCTAAGGTCTCCAGTGGAGGAGGAGACCTTAGAGCCACCATGGTTTGGTGGAGAACTCTCCTAAGAGACGCCACTCCTTGATGAAGAGATAAGTCTTTTCAATTCTCACCACACTCTTCTAGTGAAGGGATAAGAGAATATCAAAGTGGTTTAGGGACTTTTAGAAGAGAGAAATCTGAGTAATCTTCAGAAAATAATTCTCAATATCTCCAAAAGTGTCTTACAATGAAAGGAAAACAAGTATATAGGAGTAGGAAGCTTGGAGAGTAAGCTAGTCTTAACCATGGTTCCTAGTGAACCATGGTAAGGTCTAGCTAACCACCTATGGTCTAGAGGCTTGTGTGAACAAGCAATGTGAACACAAATCAAGGTGGGCGGCTCATGGACTTTATTTTACTCCAACTGGTTTTGAAAAAATGTTGATTTGGTTTAGTTAGGTTCATCCAATGTGAATGAAACCTAGCTAAATCAAATCTATGAAAAATTAGGAGTAAAATGAGTCTAATATGTAAAATTTTGCCTAGGCCCATCTCTAGGCCCAATTGCTAGTAACACTCTCTAGCTTGCTAGTTACACTCTCTAGCTTGCTAATGCCACTCCCAATCCTACTACTAGAAAACTAAGAAAAGAGTGTATTTCTAGATTAGGTTAAATGGAGTCAAAGTGTCCAAGTAACCTACCCTAGAAACAATATACAATAGCTAATAAAAGGAAATAAAGTGCCTCACAAATACAAAGGCAAAAATACACCTATACAAGTATCTACTATATACAAGGTACAAGAAATCAAACTATACAATGTATGTACAATAGAGACTATGAGACTAAAAAGAGGAATCATACTCAATACTCATATTGAGCATAAATCTAAGAAGCACCTCCTCTCTAGAAGCCTCCTCTAGCCTCCTAACCATGGACCTAGTTAAAGGCCCAATGATCTTCAAGTGTGAGCCTCCTTGGATCAACCTTCACCCTTCTTGGTCTTACCTCTTCCAAAGGGATCCTTGGGGATTAGATTTCCATCACTAGTAGTGCAAAACAATGATTACGACAATAATTATGGGGGTGTAATATTGATAAAATCGCTAATATAGACCAAGTGTTTTGGTTCATATAATTTGCTATACCAACCTCACTATATGTTAAGTATTATCAATCTAGGTTTGATTCATATAGCTTGCTACACTAGGTCCAATGTATTACAACCAATATGAGAACTCATTTTCTTCTTTTTATATCTCTCCTTCTTAATGTAATCAAAATAAAGTATTTTTTCTTTTGAAATATGCGGGGGATTGTTGCATATATGTGCATGTTATTTCAAAAGAACAAGTCCCACATTGCTTGGACAACTCATGTGTTGAGTCTTTATATATCAAAGTGTTTCTAACACTTCCAAAGGGGCAAGCAAAAGGTGTTGAGCTTGTGCACATGAGAATGGGCCTTGTGGGCCGTTGTAGTTCGAATCTGTCGATTGCCCCCCTCCGTGTGCTAAAATGGGATCCGAAAATATTTTTTATTTTTGATTACATTAAATTATTTTAGTTAATTGTGGCAAACCTTATCCAAAAGTGACCGTTTTTATGTTTCAAATTAAGAATTGATCCGGTCCTTAAAAATATCGCCTAACTTTTTTTACTAGATCTAATATTTTATTCTCTAAACGGTCATATTCGAATAAAGTTTATCCAATCGGTTTATGAGATAAGGTTTATACCTTAAATCTTGGATGGTTTACGTGATTTACGAGCTTCCGAAACTTTATAAATAAAGACCTCTACCACACTGTTTGATCATCCCAAAAAAAAGTTTTCCTCTGTTCTTTCTCTCCACTTTTTTGAGTTCTCATTTTGTTGCTTGCTAGTTTTGCTCCTCAGATATTCTTGAGACAACAGGGTTGTATCTTGAGGGGCTTGTGCGTACCCAACAAATAAGTCCTTAAGATCAATGTCATCATACATCTCAGGAAGAATTAACTAACGTGTTTGTTCAGTATTTTAGGTTACAAATTTGCGCGTCCGTCTAATTAAACAACAATATTTTTAACAAAGGGTATAGTAAAAAGGTAACGGGAACACAGCACAGCATCCCATCCACCACCAAAGGCATACGAAACAACATAACAACATCGTTCAATGAAGGAAGATTTTAGAGAACAATGTTACAAAAGGGAAAATGAGGCAGAATATTTACTAAAGGGGGGATCAACACGAAAATAAAGATTTAAATCTACTCCAATTACAAATAAGTGAAATAATGTATACATTTACTCTAGGGTTTTGAAGAATTAATATGTTTCAGCATAGCCTTGGAAGATTCATTAGCGAAGTATTTCTGCCTAAGGATCACATATGGGTAGCCGACAAAAGATAAAATGTTGGCAGGCTTTGAGATAGATAGTACTTCATACCAAACTTGATTCTTCTCATCAATCTCAATCGAAAAGCGCTCTTCCCCTGCCTGTATTAAAAATGATAACAAATTTAAACTGATCAGTTTTTTTTTTTTTTTTTTTTTTTTTTTTTTTTTTTTTTTTTTTTTTTTTTTTAAAAACTTTTTTTTTTT